CCAGGCAGGCAGGCAGGTGAGCAATTAGGAGCCAGCGGTCCAGGATTGTGAGAGGGATGTCCGACTGCCAGTTCAGGCCCAATCCCCAAGATCAGGGACATCCTAAACCTTCAGTCGGACAGCCTAAACCATCAGTCGGACATCACCCAAGGGGTCCTGGAATGGAGAGGGTGCAGGCTGGACTGAGGGGACCCCCCCCCCCCATGCACGAATTTCGTGCACCAGGCCTCTAGTATTTTAATAACTGTATAGTGGCAGATGGTAACTAGACTTATTGTAGTGATCACTTTGTAATGTATATACTAGTAAGTATCAAATCACTGTGATGTACACCTGAAAATAATAGGATATTATCTGCTGATTATAATTCATGTTTTTGAGATGGAGTGAGTGAAATTGAAAACAGGTCTTACAAAGAACCTACAGTGTCTTTGTATTTAGATTTAGAATTCTCTGGCTCATAACTTTCATTTAAAGATTTTAGCTAAAATTGTCAACTCTTATTTTTTTAATAAATCGTTGTTTTGTCTTTTAAATTATGTTTTTCTTAATGGAAGTTGAGTTTTCCAAGGAATATTGCTACTAAGTACTGTTTCTTCTTTGCTATAGGTAAAACTTTAGTCAAGAGGCTGACAAAAAAGGTAAGCAGTGTGTGTAGGGAGGGGTTCTTTCTTATGATAGGAAATGAACTTTTATAAGTTAAATTAAAAGATTTTACTATGTGTATATTCAAAGGATATTGAGGATGTGCTGGCAGCAATCCAAACAACTCATTGTGGATCAACCTTTTTTAGAGACCTTGGCGATAAAGGTAATTTTGATTTGTTGTTAACTTTCTGCTTATGTGTTTGTTTTAAAATGTTTTTATTGATTTCAGAGAGAAGAAGGGAGAGGGAGAGAGATAGAAATATCAGTGATGAGAGAATCATTCATCTGCTGCTTCCTGCATACCCTCCACTGGGGACCAGCCTAAAACCTGCTCATGTGCCCTGACCTGTCATCAAACTGGGAATCAAACTGTGACCTCTTGGTTCATGGGTCAACGCTCAAGCACTGAGCCACACCAGCAGGCACTACTTATATATTTTTATTAATCAAAGCATTACTAAGGAATTATGGTATGAGGCTTGTGGCTCTGTGTTAGAGAATATACAGTAGAGAACCTACAAAGAGAATGTTATAACACACACCATGTTATTTAACCAGTTAACTACCACATGTCCAAAACGGGAACCATCCCCGACACGCCACGATATTTTGAATTTAATTTAAAAAATCAATTTGCAATGAATATTATAAAAATAAATATACAATTTGAGTGTTCTTCAATATTTTCAGCTGAAAATTCTCATGAAAAATTATTTTAAAGTTGGTCAGGGCTGCCACTTAGGACAAACTTTTTTTTTATAGATGCGTGTGGTGTGTGGGGAAGGTCCGCCGCTTGTGTCTACAGACGCTTATGGCATACGGGTTAATAGGTGTTTATAAATTGTAATAAAATACTCATTAGGTAGTAAGTAACTTTATCATACTCTGAACAGTCACAGATAAATTATTCAAGCGATTTTTTAAAATATATTTTTATTGATTTCAGAGAGGAAGGGAGAGGAAGAGAGAAACAGAAACATCAATGATGAGAGGGAATCATTGATCAGCTGCCTTCTGCACACCCCCCACTGAGGACCGAGCCCACAACCTAGGCACGTGCCCTTGACCAGAACCGAACCCGGGACCCCTCAGTCCGCAGGCCGACGCTCCATCCACTAAGCCAAACCAGCCAGGGCCTCAAGCGATTTTTATTAAAGCCTAGAAAGGAGGAGCAAGGCAGAATATCTAAAGCATGGGTGGGAACCTTTTTTCTGCCAACGGCCATTTGGATATTTATAACATTCTCAGGCCATACAAAATTAATAGTTTAAAAATTAGCCTGGTAATTTGGTCAAACATTTAATTAACTCACCCCTAATGCCTTGGCAGGGCTAGATTAAATGATTCCTCGTGTTTTATACTGCCTGTGTGCAGATATTTCCTACCCCTGATCTAAAGTAACAAGAGAAGGCCGTAAAGAGAATCCATATAAAAGAACTATAAAAGTTTTCACTATCTTATAACTAGCAAAAGGTAGTATATTCTTGAAATAAAATAATTTTACCCACCATGCATTATAAAAAAGGAAATTGTAAGTCAAAGTTATTATGTATTTTTTAAACCTAAGCAGAATTCTCAATATAATACCATTCTCAAAGATATACTGAATATAAATTATATCACATAGTGTAAGATAGATATAAATATATTCTTATGATGTGGTAATTTCTCTTTGGGGAACAGGATTCTCAAAATTGCATTCAGTGGCAATCCATATTTTATGATTCCAATTTTTAAATATTTCCAGAGAAGCATAGTAACAAAATTTAATCATCTCTTCTAGTTGCCTCTAAGGATTTTTTAACAATTTTTAAAATATAAATTATTTTAAATACTTCCGTACTTCACATGCAGTTTTAAAATATTGCCATTTAACAGAATTTATTTTGCAATTAGATGTGGCAAATATGTATTAAATTGTTTCTCCTATTAATATTCTGAAGTGTCCATAAATTTTAAAAAGCGTTTTCAGGGGGCAAATGCCTAGAATGCTATTGTTACAAATATCTTTGTCTATAATCTATCTTGAGAGGGTAGGGTGCTATTTCTACACTGTTGCAACTCTTCATTCAAGCTTTTTATTTACGTCAGCATTTCAAAGAAAAACTGGAATTTTCTTTTTCAAACAGCTCCCCTGTGGAAAAGACGTGGACTTATGTCTAGAGAAAAGAAACATGAGGTCTCCTTTTGGCACCAAGCCCACCAGTGCAGTCTAGCAGTTTGGCCATTTCTTCACATTGCCATATTCCTTTGAAATTTAGAAAAAAAACTATTCACTTTTTTTGTGTGAGGCTGCCACGGGATGAAATACTTCAACTAAGAATGCCTTCATATGAACACTGAATATTTTAAAGAAAAAAATATCTGGCCCTAGCCAGTTTGGCTCAGTGGATAAAGCATTGGCCTGTGGACCAAAGGATCCCGGGTTCCATTCCGGTCAAGGGCACATACCTTGGTTGCAGGCTTCTCCCCAGCCTGGGCCCTGGTAAGGGCTCCCTTAGGAGGTAACCAGTCAATGTTTCTCTCTGTCTATCCCTCTCTCTTCCACTCTCCCTAAAATTCAATGGAAAAATATCCTCGGGTGAGGATTAACAACAACAACAAAAAAAAAGAAAAAATATATGAAGACTTACTGTATAGGCTTTTTTGTTCAAGAGAAGTACACCTGCTTCAAAATAAAAACAACAGAAAAGTCAGCGGTATAAAGTAATAATGTAAGTCATTAAAAACATTTAAAATACATACCTGAAGTTACTTACAATCAAAACACTGCATTATAGTACCTGGATGCAAAATCTTTACCTGCCTTGCTCTGAACAACTGGCCCCACATTGCTGCATTGCATTTCTGCATTACATGTAATGCAGAGCCATTATAATGTGATCTTCCTCCTCTGCCATCCCCTCTTCAAGCCTGTATTCCTCATTTCTGTGCTACCATGGTAGCTTTACTTCCCATTGCTTCTTCTACATAAGCATTTCAGACCTGTCTTATATAGCTTTCCCATTTATATCACAACTGTTTAATTAAAATTTTCACCCATCCTTCAAAGACCATTTTTAGAATTGCACTTCTGATCATCCAAACTCAGGAAATGATTTCACAGTTTTCTAAAGTCCTATAAATCTTACTCTCAGTATCTCTTAATGGTATTTATAGCATTTTCTATAAACATTTGCATTTCAGCCTCCTGATGTATACAACACCATCTATTAAGAATTCTTGCTAGAAATCAAACTTGCATCTAAACACAGCTCTGGATCTAACTAGCTACCAGTTTGTAGAAATTGTAGAAGGTAGAGGAACATGAAATGACAAAGATGCAGTCATAAAAATTTTCTAAACTGTAATAAACTTTACAGGACAAAGGAACCAGGCTTCTTCAACAAATTAGTTGAGGGGGGGGGGGGAAACGACAAGGGAGAACCTATAGATTAAAAGATATTTAAGACACAAGGAACAAAGAAAAATTAAAAACTTTTGTGAATCAAAGTACACTATCTCCTGGGCCGGTGTGGCTTCATTGTTAGAGCATCAGTCCACACACTGACAGGTAGGTCGTGGGTTCAATTTCCGCACAAGGGCATGTTACCTGGATTGCAGGTTTGATCCCCAGGCACGATCAGGAGGCAACCAATCGATATGTCTTTCTCACAGCATGTCTCTCTCTCTCTCTCTCTCTCTCTCTCTCTCTCTCTCTCTCTCTCTCCCTCTCTCCCTCTCTCTCTCCCTCTCCCTCTCCCTCTCCCTCTCCCTCTCCCTCTCTCCCCCTCCCTCCCTCCCTCCCTCCCTTCCTCCCTCCCTCCCTCCCTTCCTCCTTTCCTCCCTACCTCCTTTCCACTCTAAAAATCAATGGAAAAAATATCCTCAGTTGTGGATTAACAACAAAAAAAAGGTACACTATCAAGAGAGTAAAAATGCAACTGACTGGATGGAAGAAAATATTTACAAATTATATATAGGGGGCTAATATTCAGGATATGTAAAGAATTCCTATAACCCAGCTGGTGTGGCTTAGTTGGTTGAGGAGGTCCCCGGTTGGATTCCTGGTCAGGGCACATGCCCGTTTGTAGGCTCGATCCCCAGTACCCCAGTAGGGGGCATGCAGGAGGCAACTGATTGACATTTCTCTCACATCGATGTTTCTATCTCTGTCTTCCTCTCCCTTATTCTCTCTGAAATCAATAAAAACATACTTACATTTTTTTTTTAGAAAAGAACTACAACTCAACAATAAAAATAAAAAAAAAAACAATTTAGCCCAGGATGGTGTGCTCAGTGGTTAGAGTGAAAGCCTGTACACTGAAGTTCAAGTCCCAGTCAAGGGCACATACCTGGCTTGCAGGTTCAATCCCTGACCCCCGTCAGGGCATGTGTGGGAACTAACCAGTCAATTTTTCTCTTTCACATCAGTGTTTCTCTCTTCCTCCCTCCCTCCCTTCCACTCTCTCTGAAAAATAAATAAATAAATGGAAAAAATATCCCCAAGTGAGGATTAACAAAAAAAACAATTTAGAAGTGGGCAAAGTGAAATAGATATTTCTCGTAAGAAGATATACAAATGGTTAATTCGCACATGAAAGTATGCTCCGCATGACTAATCACTAGGGAAATGCAAATAAACCACAATGAGATGCCACTTCACACCCATTATTATCAAGAAAAAAATGAAAATAAATGTTGGCCAGGATGTGGAGGAATTATAATCCTTGCACATTGCTGGTGGGGATGTAAAATGATGCAGCCACTGTGTAAACAGTATAGAGGTTCCTCAAAAAATTAAACATGAAATGACCATTTGATCCAGCAATTCCACTTCTGGGAAAATACCAAAAGAATTAAAGCTGGCTGCCCTGACCGGTTTGGCTCGGTGGATAGAGCGTCGGTCTGCAGACTGAAGGGTCCCAGGTTCGATTCCAGTCAAGGGCATGTACCTTGGTTGCGGGCACATCCCCAGTGGGGGGTGTGCAGGAGGCAGCTGATCGATGTTTCTCTCTCATCGATGTTTCTAACTCTCTATCCCTCTCCCTTCCTCTCTGTAAAAAATCAATAAAATATATTTTTTTAAAAAAAAGAATTAAAACCGGAGACTCGAACAGATATTAGTACACCAGTGTTTGTAGTCACAGTAGCTAAAAGGTGGAAACAGATGATGGCTAAACAAACTGGTGCATCCATACAGTGGAATATTATTGCACCTTAAAAAGGAATGTAATTGTTGCCCCTGGTCAGGTAGCTCAGTTGGTTAGAGTGGTCCCCCATACGCCAAGGTTTTGCATTTGTTTACTCTCGGTGACTGGTGAGTGCACACTTTTACTAGACCTACTCAGTATAAATTTAAAATTATAGTAATACATATAGAAAACTTGTCTGTGAAATTAAACTTTTCACACATACTTAATTTTAATTACACAAACATTTCTACATAAGTAAAAACAGGTAAACTAACTTGTCTTTTTAACATACGCATTTGGAAAACCTACTTTATTATATAATGGACTTTCGGCTTTAACAGGCACCCTCTCACCCAAATTAGTCTGTTATATCGAGGTTTTACTGTATTTTACAAAAAAAAGTAAGTGACTTGAGATCTCCGGGGCTGGGGGGGTTGGGGGAGACATGCAGGAGGCCACCGATCAATGATTCTCTTGTCATCATTGATATTTCTCTCTCTCCCTCTCCCTTCCTCTCTGAAGTCAATAAAAAATATTTTTTAAAAAAACAACCTCTAATTGATACCTGTATTTCCCAGCCAGCATTCATTCCACCTCCTTACTAGTAAGAGTAATCTGATAAAACCTAGTATCTTTTTAAGTATTAGTAATGTACTTAACTCTATTATAAAAGTTTTCCACTGTACCAAAGAGGTAATTTAAAGTGAAAATGTGTTTTTAATTAGGTGAAGTTTCCATGTAGTATATATATGATTACTTTTAAACCATCTAAAATGTATTTTCTGACGTTTTTATTTTAATCTCTTTCAGGGTTAATTTCATATACTGAGTATCTTTTCTTGCTTACAATCCTCACTAGTAAGTATCACATTTTTTTCCTCAACAATCATGTGGACTTCTCTATTATTTATGAACAGAGTTTTGGAAGTTTAGTGTTTATGTGTTTTTTTTTAATTTTTTATTTATTGGGGGAGAGAGAGAGAGAGAGAAACATCAGTTTGTTGTTCCACTTATTTATACATTAATTGGTGGATACTTGTATATGCCTTGACCGGAGATCGAACTTACAGCCTTAGCCTATTGGAATGATGTTCTAACTAACTGAGCTACCTGGCCAGAGCAGTATTTATATTTTATTATTAAAAATACTAGTGGCCTGGCATAGATTCATTCACATTGAAAGGAAATTAATTAGAAGGTGGCCAGCGGGGCGGGACTGGGCAAGATGGCCCAGACACGCCTTGGAGCCAACCTCCCACGGTTCCCCCTGCTGCAGCTCAAAGGGTGTCTGCAGAGTGAGAAGGGTCCCTCTGGCAGATGGGGTCCCTCGGCCTGGCCTGCAAAGATCAGGCCGAAGCCGGCTCTCCGACATCCCCCAAGGGGTCCAGGAGTATGAGAGGGCACTAGCAAAGTTGCTGTCATACAGGGTGTAGAACGCAAATGCAAGTGTGCAGTAAACCAGATTCGGGGCCGACAGTGCCCCAGCAACAACATAACCCACAGCCAAAGGTGAAATCGCGTGGCCCCACGAGGAATCGGGCTCCCTCCTCTCTGGTTCTGGGGTGCGTCACCTGAGAACCGCAGCTTCGAAGTCACCACAGCTCGATAGCTCCTGTGTTGAGTGTCTGCCCCCTGGTGGTCAGTGCACATCATACCTACCGGACAGTCAGACGGTCACTTAGCCTTTTATAAATATAGATTATTGGGCCTGGCCAGTATGGCTCAGTGGTTGAGTGTCATCCTATGAACAAGGAGGTCAGGGTTTGATTTCCTGTCAGGGCATATGCCCAGGTTGCGGGCTTAATCCCCAGTAGGGGGTGTGCAGGAGGCAGCTGATCGGTGATTCTCTCTCATCATCGATGTTTCTCTCTCTCCCTCTCTCTTCCTCTCTGAAATCAATTAAATATATATATAGTATTGAGCCCTGGCCAGTGTATCTCAGTGGTTAGAGCATTCACCCATGCACCAAATGGTCGAGGGTTTGAGTCCCAGTGAAGGGCACATACACGGTTTTCAGGTTTGATCCCCAGCCCTGGCCGGGGTGTGTGCAGGAGGCAACCAATTGATTTGTCTATCTCACATTGATGTTTCTTTCTCTCTGTCTCTCCCCATCCCTTCCACTCTCTAAAAAAAAATCAGTGGAAAAATATCCTCAGTTGAGGATTAGCAACAACAACAAAAATTGCTATACCGTATTAATTTCTTAGTTTTCATAAAGGTACTGTGGTTATATAAGATGTTGACATGAGAGGAAGTTGGATGAAGGGTATACTAGGTGTACCAGTTAATAATGCGGAGTTTTTTCAATAAATGGAGTTACACATATGTTGATATATATGCGATTTGATATGTATGCTATTTTTTGTTGTATTGACAGCAAGCTTCAAAACTTCATATGTCAAATTTGCTGAAGGTGTTAACATCATAGATATTTTTACGCTTAGAAATGTCGAATTTCGTGCTAAAAAAAAAAAGCATTTGCGGGAAATTTTAATTCATTTATTTTGAAGAAAAGTGCTGCTGAAAGTTATCCTATACTTTGGGAAGCTTATGGTGAACATGCTCCATCTCAAGATACTTGTGAACGCTGGTTTAAACGCTTTAAAAGTGATGATTTCGATGTGAAAGACAAAGAACGTCCAGATCAACCGAAAAAGTTTGAAGACCAACAATTACAAGCATTATTGGATGAAGATGCTTGTCAAACTCAAAACCAACTTGCAAAAAGATTAAACATTGCTCAGCAAACCATTTCCGATCGTTTATAAGCAATGGGAAAGATTTAAAAGGAAGGCAAATGAGTCCCACATCAACTGAACAAAAGGCAACTGAACCGAAAAGTCATCAGTAAAATGTTGCTTCAGCGGCACAAAAGAAAGTCTTTTTTGCATCGAATTGTGACTGGCGATGAAAAGTGGATTTATTTTGAGAATCCCAAACGCACAAAATCATGGGTTGATCCCAGGTCAACCATCAACATCGACTGCAAGGCCAAATCGCTTTGGAAAAGAAGACAATGACAATGCTCTGCATTTGGTGGGATCAGGAAGGTGTGGTGTATTATGAGCTTCTAAAACCAGGTGAACCTGTTAATACTAATCACTACTGACAACAAATAATCAATTTGAACCACGCTTTGATAGTGAAATGGCCAGAATGGGCCAGAAGACACGGCAAAGTAATTTTGCTTCATGATGATGCACCATCACACACTTCAAAACCAGTTAAAGACACGTTAAAAGATCTTGCTTGGGAAGTATTAACCCACCCGCTGTATTCACCAGACCTTGCTCCTTCAGATTACCACTTGTTCTGATCGATGGCACACGCACTTTCTGAGCAGCACTTCAAAACATACGAAGATGTGGAAAATTTGGTCTCTGAATGGTTTGCCTCAAAACAAGAAAAGTTCTATTGGGACAGTATCCACAAATTACCTGAAAGATGGGAGAAATGTGTAGCTAGCGATGGACATTACTTTGAATAAAGCATTTTTGATGTTTCTCTTGAAATTACCGTGTTTTCTTTGATTACAAAATCCGCATTATTAACTGGTATACCTGGTACTGGGAACTCACCATGCCATCTTTACATTGCTGTAAGTCTAAAATTATTTCAGAATAGTTTTTTAAAAACCCTACTCTGAGAAAGGAAAATAAAAGGTAAAAATCAATATGAAAATAGCCATGGTCCTATAAGAGTATAGGAAAGCTAAAGATACAAAGTTCTCAAATTATTTTTTCTTTGAAGGCAGCACACTTAATAGCAGAACAGCACGCCCATGGACATGTATCAGCCTTTGAAAATCATTATCATAAGAAGAGATCACTTTTTTCTCTGTTTAAGCCCTTACACATGTAGCTTCTGGTGGCTGATTTCAAATTCAAAGATCTCTTAGATTTGCACGTAATTTACAATTCATCAATGTTTAAATACTCATTTTTCTCTTGATTGCAGAACCCCATACCGGGTTTCATGTTGCTTTTAAAATGCTGGATGCAGATGGTAATGAGATGGTTGAGAAAAAGGAATTTTTTAAGGTAAGTAGATTCTAGTTATTTTTGGTGTATCATAAAGCACCTGGATAGTTGTGTGATAATAATTTTACCATTTTCATAAAAATTAAAATTATATTTGCTGCTTATATATCAGATGTCAGGAAATCGTTTATGTATTAAAAATAGTAAATTTTCTGTATTACAACCTTGAGGAAATAGGCAAGGAACAAAGCATAAGATTCCAAAAAGAAATGAGCTGAAGCATCTATGTTTTTTAGATTTTATTTTTACGATTTCAGCAAATGATAATCCTATATAATAAAAGGCTAATATGCAAATTGTCCCTTCTGGACTGGGAGTTTGACCAGGGGGTGGGGCCAACGGCCTGCTGCCCCTCCCCCTGGCAGGCCCCGTCGCCCTGATCCTGGTGAGCTGGTCAGACCCCACCTGTGCACAAATTTGTGCACCGGGCCTCTAGTACAATATAAAGGGCTTTGTGGGTCTGTTAAAAATTATTCTTACACCTCCGCCCAAAGAAAGAGATACGAAAAACAAAAATTTAGGTCTTCATAAAAAATAGGGAGAAATGGGCCTGACCAATGTGGGTCAGTGGTTGAGCATCGGCCTATGAACCAGGAGGTCATGGTTTGATTCTTGGTCAGGGCACATGCCCGCGTTGCAGACTCGATCCCCAGTGTGAGGCGTGCGGGAGGCAGCCGATCAGTGATTCTCTTTCATCATTGATGTTTCTATCTCTCCCTCTCCCTTCCTTTCTGAAATCAATAAAAATATATTAAAAATAAAAAATAAAGTCTCTTTTGTCTGGTATAAGTATTGCTACTCCATCTTTTTTTCCATTTTCATAAAATATCTTTGCTCATCTCTTCAGTTTCAGTCTGTGTGCGTCTTTTGATCTAAAATGAGTCTCTTGCACACAGCATATGTAAGGGTCTTGTGTGGTTATCCATTAGGCTACCATATGTCTTTTGATTAGAGCATTTAATTTATTTTGCAATTAAAGTAATTGTTGATAGATGTGTGTTTATTGCCTTTTTATTCTTTTTTATCTTTTTTTTTCTTCTTCTTAAAGAAGACCCTTTAACATTCCTTGTAATACTGGTTTGGTGGTGCTGAACTCCTTTAGCTTTTTCTTGTCTGGGAAGCTTATCTGTTCTTAGATTCTAAACGATGGCCTTGCTGGATAGAATACTCCTGGTTCTATCTTTCCATTGGGTCCTTTCTTTCCATTGGGATATTTCATGCCAATCCCTTCTGGCCTGCAAAATTTATATTGATAAATCAACTGACAACTTATGGAAGTGCCCTTATAGGTAACTGCTTTATTCTTGATGCTAAGAATTTGTTTTTAACCTTTGGCATTTTAATTGTGATGTTTCTTGGTGTGGGCATCTTTGGGTTCATCTTGTTTAGGACTCTCTGTGCTTCCTGGACTGTTATGCCTATTTCCTTCACCAGGTTAGGGAAGTTTTCCGTCATTTTATCTTTTTTTTTTTAATTTTGTTTTATTGCTTAAAGTATTACAAAGAGTATTACATATGTCTCCTTTCCACCCCACCACCTTGACCTTCCCCCAGCCTCCTCTACCCCCCAGTGTCTTGTGTCCATTGGTTATGCTTATATGCATGCATACAAGTCCTTCGGTTGATCTCTTACCCCCACCCCCAACCCTTCCCGGCCTTCCCGCTGTACTTTGACAGTCTGTTCAATGCTGCTCTGCTTCTGTATCTATTTTTGTTCATCAGTTTATAATGGTCTTTATTATCCATAAATGAGTGAAATCATGCGGTATTTTTCTTTCATTGACTGGCTTATTTCACTTAGCATAATGCTCTCCACTTCCATCCATGCTGTTGCAAATGGTAAGAAGTCCTTCTTTTTTACAGCAGCATAGTACATAGTGTAGATGTACCACAGTTTTCTAATCCATTCATCTGCTGATGGGCACTTAGGCTGTTTCCAAATCTTAGCTATGGTAAATTATGCTGCTGTGAACATAGGGATGCATATATCCTTTCTGATGGGTGTTTCTGGTTTCTTGGGATATATTCCTAGAAGTGGGATCACAGGGCCAAATGGGAGTTCCATTTTTTGTTTTTTGAGGAAACTCCATACTGTCTTCCATAGTGGCTGCACCAGTCTGTATTCCCACCAGCAGTGCACAAGTGTTCCTTTTTCTCCGCATCCTCTCCAGCACTTGTCGTTTGTTGATTTGTTGATGATAGCCATTCTGAGGGTGAGATGGTACCTCATTGTTCTTTTGATTTGCATTTCTCGGATGATTAGTGACTTTGAGCATGTTTTCATATGTCTCTTGGCTTTCTGAATGTCCTCTTTTGAAAAGTGTCTATTTAGGTCCTTTGCCCATTTTTTGATTGGATTGTTTATCTTCCTTTTGTTAAGTTGTATGAGTTCCCTGTAAATGTTGGAGATTAAACCCTTATTGGAGATAACATTGGCAAATATGTTCTCCCATGCAGTGGGCTTTCTTGTTGTTTTGTTGATGGTTTCTTTTGCTGTGCAGAAGCTTTTTATTTTGATGTAGTCCCATTTGTTTATTTTCTCTTTAGTTTCCAATGCTTTAGGAGCTGTATCGGTGAAGAAATTGCTTCGGTATATGTCTGAGATTTTGTTGCCTTTGGATTCCTCTAGTATTTTTATGGTTTCCCATCTTACATTTAAGTCCTTTATCCATTTTGAGATTATTTTTGTGTATGCTGTAAGTTGGTGGTCTAGTTTCATTTTTTGCTTGTATCTGTCCAATTTTCCCAACACCATTTATTGAAGAAACTGTCTTGACTCCATTGTATGTTCTTGCCTCCTTTGTCAAATATTAATTGAGCATATTGGTTTGGGTCGATTTCTGGGTTCTCTATTCTATTCCATTGATCTATATGTCTGTTCTTGTGCCAGTACCAGGCAGTTTTGAGAACAGTGGCTTTGTAATACAGCTTGATATCTGGTATTGAGATCCCACCTACTTTGTTCTTCTTTCTCAGGATCGCTGCAGCTATTCGGGGTCATTTTTTATTCCAGATGAATTTTTGGAGAGTTCGTTCTAGGTCTGTGAAATATGCCATTGGTATTTTATTGGGGAGTGTGTTGAATTTATATATTGCTTTGGGTAGTATGGACATTTTAATGATGTTGATTCTACCAATCCATGAACATGGTATGTTCTTCCATCTGTTTATGTCTTCCTCTATCTCTTTTTTCAATGTCCTGTAGTTTTCTGAGTAGAGGTCTTTTACCTCTATAGTTAAGTTTATTCCTAGGTATCTTAATTTTTTTGGTGTGATGGAAAATGGAATTGCTTTTTTAGTCTCTCTTTCTGTAAGTTCACTATTGGTGTATAGAAACGCCATAGATTTCTTGGCGTTAATTTTGTATCCTGCTACATTGCGGAATTAATTTATTAAGTCTAATAGTTTTTTGATGGAGTCTTCAGGGTTTTTTATGTACAATATCATGTCATCTGCGAATAAGGACAGTTTTACTTCTTCTTTTCCAATTTGGATGCCTTTTATTTCTTCTTCTTGTCTAATCGCAATGGCTAATACTTCCGTCATTTTTTCAAATAAATTTTCAGCCCTTGCTGGTTTTGCTCAGTGGTTAGAGCATCAGCCCACGAACCAAAGGGTCACGTGTTCGATTCCCGGTCAAGGGCACGTACCTAGATTGCAGGCTCAATCCCCAGTCCTGGTCAGGATGTGTGCCGGAGGCAACCAATCAATATGTTTCTCTCACATCAGTGTTTCTCTCTCTCTCTTTCTCTCTCTCTCTCTCTCTCTCTCTCTCTCTTCCTGTCCTTCAGCTCCTCCCCCTCCTCCCTTCCTTCCACTCTCTAAAAAAAACCAATGGAAAAAATATCCTTGGTGAGGGTTAAAAGTATATATATATTTGCAATTGCTTGCTCTCTTATCCTTCCCACACCCCTATGATGTGAATGTTGGTACACTTGAGGTTGAACCAAAGGCTACTTACAATCTCCTCAGTTTTTGGATTCTTTTTTCTTTTTGTTGTTCTAATTGGATGTTTTCTGATTTTATATCTCCCAAATATCTGATTTAATCCTCTGCTTCATCTACTCTACTTTTGATTCCCTTTAATATATTCTTCATTTCAGTTCTTGTATTCTTCATTTCTGACTGGTTCTTTTTTATGCTTTCTATCTTCATTTTCATGTTTCCTAGCTCTTTGTTGAAGTTCTCACTAAGTTCATCTACTGTTACCCTAAGTTCATTGAGCATCCTTTTAACCATTGTTTTGAACTCTGCATCTGGTAGATTGCTTGTCTCGTTTTATTTAGTTCTTTCTCTGGAATTTTGTTCTGTTTTCATTTGGGACCTTTTTTTTATCTCATTATTTTGGCTGCCTCCCTGTGTTTGTTTCTATATATTAGGAAGAGCTGCTATATCTCCTGGTCTTGGTAAGATGGCCGTATATAATAGGTGTTTTGTAATGCCCAGTGGCATAGCCTTCTGGGTTACCAGAGCTGAGCACTCAGGTGAGCCCCTATCTAGGCTCACCCTCCTGTTGTAGTTGAGCCTCGATTGCTGTTGGCACATATGAGAGGGATTTATCCCCTGGCCCATCGTTTGTGAGGACTGGCTGCAACCATTGTGGAGGATATGCTATGCATGGGCCAAGCCCACAGAGCAGGACTGGGTTCAACAGGGCTCTGCTGAGTCCAAGCCTTGAATGTGTAGCTCTTGGATATGGTTGCATGGTACTTCAGCATGGTCCAAAACTGCCCACCAGGTGCACTAGCTCTAGGACCTTCTGGGAAGTTCAAGCCAAGGTCAGCCACCACCTCTACCCTCCCCACGCCTCCCATCTTGAGTTACAGAGTGTTCTGCAGATGGCTGCTATTTGTGCTGGGTTGGAGGTGTCTGTGAGAGGTCAAGCTGTGAACCAAGACCAGCTGCCACTAGTGCCAGGCCTGGGGCCGCTTAGCAGGAGGTACAGGACATGCCGAAGCCAGAATGCTGCTTGTTTGAGAGATTTTAGGAAAGTCCACAATA